GGCCAGCCAGATCTACATAAATTTTAAGCAGTAAGTTTTCTTCATCAAACCTCTAGTTTTCTTCATCAAACCTCTAGATGTTATTATAAACCAAAACGCACAAGTGTGCAAATTACAGCCCATAGCTGAATAAAACAGCTAATAATTAAAAAACTGGGAGGACAGGTCAGAAGACCGCCTAGAACCTCTGCTAGCCAAGCTAGAATAAAGAAAAAACTAGACTCAAACACAACCGATAAAAAACACTAGAAAGGCTCCCCACGAGAGAATATAAATGGTCCCCAAGGGATAATCCCCGCACACAGGCGGGCTCACACAGAACAGAGGCCAACGGCCCAAACCAAAAACACCATACGAACACAACACAGACTCGAAACGAAAAACCAAAAGAAAAAAAATCCTAAACTATATTAGCCCTCCCCCACAAAAAGAAAGATCCACTACAACCCTTCCACTGCAACCGAGAGTTTCGCCCGAAGGGAAAGAAAATCGAGCCAAGCATCGAGATCTGAAACTGCGGAAAGCGCCTAACAAGGTCCGAAACTCATATCTGAAAGCTCACCCAGGAAGAAGACCTCCAGCCGATCATCGGAAATCAGCCCCAAACAAGCCACCCCCACCTACCGGCAAAGAAGTCCGCCGAAAACCTGAGCCCAGGACCATCCCCGTCGGTGAGGCCTGCCTCCCAGCCACCAGAACAACCAGCCACCCACCACACCACCACTGCCCATCTTCGGCTAACACCACTAGCCGGAAGCCAGAGCAACGGCCTCTCTTGACCCAATACCAGGGCAAAGATAAAAAGGGCAAAGGGAGGCACAACTCCGACCACCCCCGCGCAACCGCAGCAAGCCTCCAAACCATTCCCCACCCCAATACCACACCCCGACCAGGAAGCAAAGTAATGGGCTGTGAGCGGCACGCCACCACCGGCCACGGCCAAAACATCCAGCAGCCCAATCTCACACCAGGTAAAATTAGAATAGGGGGGAGAAGGGAATCAACCTCAAAACCAACCTCCACCCAGCGGAAGTCGGAAAATGCCGCCAACCCCCACCATCGATAACAGAAAACGAGAGGACCTAAAAATCCGCCGGAGCGACACAACCCGACCAAGTTTAAGTCCGCCGCGAAATCCCTACCGAAGCGAGAGGCCGGGGGCCCTGACCAGCGGCGACATCGACAAAGGCGAGAGAAATCTCTGCAGGGAGGAGGCGGAAGGCTACTGAAGAAGATGACGATGCGGCGCAGAGAGATTAAATAAATAAAATAATCTCTCCTTTGTAGGATTGAGAATGAGAAAATGCAGTTAACTTTCGTCGTATCCCATTTTCTGCAATAGTGTTTTAGAGTTGTCAATTTTATCCAAATAAAGCAATTGAAATTTAAATTGCAATTTTTAGTCATTACAAATACAAAACTGGAAAAAAAAAATAGAAATTTTATAAATAGAGGCTAGATGTAATTCATTGATTATTACTATAAAAAAAATTGTCATACTCAATGAAAAATTCAACAATAATATATTTCAATGAATATTTCAATGGTATAACTTCCATTGAATTGATTACAACAGAAATTCAAATGAAAATATTTCATTGGAATATGTTTTTCATTAGAGTTTTTAGATGAAATTTGATTATTCAACGACTATTTTTTTAACGGTCGTGAGAATTTTTGTTGGGATTTGCAATTTCATTAAAATTTTATTTCCACCCATATTTCAACCATTGGAATCGTCAAATCAAACAAAAATTTTAAATAAAAAACTCATTTCAACGGAATTTTTTAGTGGAATTTTAGTTAGAATATATCGAAAAAAATCAGACGAAAATGTTAGCATTTAGATATCAATTGGTATTGTCGTTGGAATTCTATTAGATATATTTCTGTTGAAATTTCATCAATTTTTTTTTTTTTTTTTTTTTTTTTTT